AGGACGCTGTCTGTTGATCTGAACCGTAAGATGGTTTAAACTAGTGTAGTGAATTTAAAATGTCTTTTGAATGCAGGCTTGCTGTTAAAAGTGAGGCACTGCCTCGCGGGGTGTACTGTTGTGGCTTTGCTGCCGAGGATGTGCAATGTTGTGGAATAATGCTGCACTTATTAAATTTCTCTCGGGTCTATTGGTTCTCTGAGTTTCTCTTGCAAAGCTTTTTTCCCCTCTCTCCCACATTTCTCTGTTTCTTTACCCATCAACACTGTAAGGCAGAGTACAGAGCTGTTGTCTTCTTTTTTAAAACATCTCTTAGAAATTTAGATATTAGAAATGTGTCTGCCTCATATTGTCACTGCTGGATGGGTATCAGCTGACACGGTTATTCCATGAATACTATTTTCAACCAGAGTTCATTTAACAAGATATTTTCAAGCTTTCTGTGACTCACTTGTAAAAATAATTGAACACAAGTGAAACTCTGACTTGAGTAACATGAATGTTTTGTGCTTGATTGTAAGTCACTTTCAGACTTTCAATCAAATACAAAAAAAGGGAACTAGGTGCAGCTGCACTTCCATAATTTACTTCTCTGAGAGCCAATGAGTGATTAATCGCCTCATTTTCATTTTCTTTGAAGGGTGAAGCATTTAGAGTAATAACCTTTTGGTCACAGAGCGATGAGTCTGTCTCTCAGGAGATATTTTCCTGCTGACAGCACTAATAGCTCAAACATATATGATACTTCTCTACAAAGTGTCTAATGGGTAAATAAAATCTCGAATTTAATCGCTCATTGTATGTATTGTTTTATAATTAGAGCAGGTTTAGGATTGAAGAAATTGTGTTTGTAGAGCTTGATCACTTTTAATGGACATGTAAAATTATAGTATATACTAAAATGTGCTGGAATTATCGAGATATTTTTAAGGCAACAATATTTTTTTTTTTGCCCACTTTCCTGCAATTTGTGCTTCAAAGATATTTATCACCAGTACATTATAGTTGTCAACAGTTATTTTATTATTTGATAATGGACATCAAACTGCTTTGTGTGGACAAGTTTTCTGACATTGACTTTGGGCTTTAAAATACGGCACTAGACGTAAATCAATGTTTATTATTATTATTATTACGGATGCATGACATCGGCATGGTATTGGTATTGGCTGATGTTAGCAATAAAATTAAATATTGGACATCATCCATTCCATCAAAATAACTCCCTGATATAAAAGGCACTGTTTAGGGGCAATGTTTTTGTACAACAACCCAGTAAACATAATCCAAGTTGAAGTGTTGCATCATTTTCAACCCATTTTTGACATCTGCATTTGGTAGCAGGCCAAATTAACAAAGACCGTGCAAAATAATGTATTTTAAATCCACAGCAGAGAAAGCTATGCAGTCTAGGAAAAAAAAACTATCATTTATCGGACAAATAAGTTTTAACATATCGGCATATCGGATATCGGCCAAAAATACAATATCGTGCATCCCTAATATTAATTTTCCCAGTTCCTGAAACTAAATGCACTTTATAAAAATCCGAAGATAATTGGTGTAAAACAAGCACGTCGCTTAGTGACTCCTAAGAGGAAAATTCATGCTACTTACAGCTTGACTTGGCAGAATACCAAATACTGTAGTCTAAGCAGGACACATGCACAGAAGCTCAGGATCCCAGACAGACTAATGCTGTAGATGAAGTCAGATGAAGGAATCCATATGTATCAGTTAGGCTGTCCATGTCTGCATCGATTACACAGCAGGCGGCTCAATACTTGTCTCTAGCTTCTTTTTACTCTTGTCTGTTTTCTTCTGTCCACTTTGTCTTTTTCTTTCTCTTCAACCCACTTTCAATCACTGATCAATTGCCAGAAACGAATGAGCCTTTTTGTTGAATTTGTCCAGAACTTCATCAGTTTTAGCCTTAAAGGGTTATTATGAGTGCACTGGACAGCATTCTATAAAACATTACTTACAAGTGGAATGACATTTAGAAGCCAATTTGAGTTTGTTCTGTTTTGACTTGCAGGAGAATTGGATTCATGAGAACACATGGCTGTTTTTCAATTCACCTCAATCCATCTTAAAGTTCAGCTCAAGAGAAGGTCGTGCCATTTCTAGATCTTGCGTAATAGATTTTTAACTTGATTCTATAGGCTCCGCAGTGACAGAGGTTAACGGACATTGGTCTTCACAAATGTTGCCAAGCCCATATTTGTAGTTTTTACCACTGCATCCTGTCTGAGCCTCTGATACCTGGGTTCCCAAAGATCGTGACTGATATTTGAGGGATTTGCACATGTGTGCTATTATTAAAATGTATAAATACATGTGTTTTTTTTTCTAGATATTTAATGTAAAAGACACATTCCCAAGTAAACTGATGTAGTCAGTCACACGGTGGTGAATACATCCTCTTTCTTGCATCTCCAGAACTCTGCTTTGCAAATCCTCATCTAAATGTTGGATCACTGTGATGCTATTTGGGGACAGGATCAGAAATTTTGCAATACAATCTAAAGTATCAGCACTCATCATCCATTGTTGATTACTTAACTTTATTTACATATGCAATCACTGTCATACAGATGTGTTTTTAATATTCTTAGATTCTAAACCACAAAATTACAACGGCAGAGATTTGTGACCCAAATATTATTGCATTAAATATATTGTTAAAACAATAAGCATACATGGGATGGTAAATGGACTGTATTTACTTTCTATCTTAAGATACTCAAAGTACTTTACTACCCAATCTGTGCCTCATTTACCCATTCATACAGCACTCTACTATACCTGTACAAAGATTAATCAGTGCTTAATGGCATTCATGCACCGATGGGACACACATCGGAGGCAATGAGGGGTTCAGTGTCTTGCCCAGGGACACTTTGGCATGTGACTGCTGGTGGAATGGAATCAAACCCCCCAACTATTGCATTGGAGGATGAGTGCTCTAACCACAGAGCCACAGCTGCCCACATATAAAAAATAGAACTATTTAAAGTCATAAAATGCAGCTTTTTTCCCCACAGACTATTGTATCATTTTGGTCAACATTTAATATTACCAATCATCTCTTAAATTTGTTTGATTTCTAGAAATTAAAATAGAAAATTGTCCATTGCAGCTACTGTTTGTATTTTTTAATAATCTGTGATAAAACCTGCATTTTTCAGCCAAATTCAGTTTATTTTCAAGCAAACCTTTTTGACTCATAATATCACCTCTGAAGGTTTAAAATCTCAGCTGGGGTCTTTTGTTGTGCAAGACCCATTTTAAAGACTCAATTTTGTCCCTTGCTGTGGAGGGACAAAGAGAAAGTGGAAATACACTTTGTCCTTGTGAGCATGATAATGAAAAATATGCGAGTTGAATTTTGGTGTGTGACTACATCTAGGCAAAAGAAAGGTTCCTTTTAAAAATTGGGTTGCCACATAAAAATCCAAGATGGCCACCACCATATACGTATAAATGTCAACCTTGAGAGCTGGAAACTTGAAAAATAAGCCACAGGCCAAATTCCATTTTGGTGTGTGCATCTAGCCGCAGGGTTCCCAGCGTTTGATGAAATCAAAATTCCCTGAGTTTTCCCAGTTTTTTTTTCCTGAGTAAACCCTGAAACTCCAGGAGCCATTTCAGTCACACAAAATGCTCAGAACTTGGCGCCTTATATGGTGAATAAAGTCCCATTCAGACATGACAGTAGGTCTACTGTAGCCTACAACCATTCTCAACAATTAATTATACTTTATAACAGCGTATACTAAAAAGTGGTATGCTGATATCTCCCGTTGCTGTAATTCATCAATAACGTGCAGGTATTTAAAAAATGGATGTTTGTAATTTTGGAGACAACTGTTTTTTCTGGTTAGGGAAGGGAATGCAAGTAAATTTTGATGTTTTTAGTGCAAAATATTCAAGAGGGCATGAGTTAAACTGTGTTTAAGAACAGAGGGAGGTTAATTAATTAATTTATTTTTTGCTTGTCTGAGGTGACGCAGTGTGATTGATTCTGGTGAGTGGGGGGAGCAATTTTATCCTCCTTTGGCCACCTCAATGGTTTGAAGAAACTACACTTGGTAGTTTCTATATAGCTAAAAATGTAAGCAATATAAAAGCTACACATATACATATAACTATTATTATTCATAATAATAATAATAATAAATAATCCACCTCAGTTTTTATACACAGTGTAACTTAGTATAACAGTAACTTCTATCCTCTTGAATGTCTTGCACCAAAACTAAAAATATTAAGGTGTACTCTCATTCCCCGTTCAGTTCCAGTCCAGAAAAAAAAGCCTCATCTCCATCACTACAAAAAATAACTATTCAAATCCCTCAACAACACAGGACTTTGTGTACTGCTTATTACATCTTGGCCCTTATCTACTATAATAGAAAAATCTTTGTTATAATTTAAGTTTTGTTCCAAATGGGCTGTAGATTACAGCTCTACGTTTTAATTTTTATTACTTAGCATCCAATCCAAACTAAGTAACATTTTATTCTCATTTTCAGCTTGTACTGTTATTAATTATATTTTATTATAGTGCTCTTTTGCGTTTGTTTACTGCTTGTTTTGTTTACTCATTTCTGGTCATTTTGCGTACAGCCACTCGATCAATATTTGTCTTTTTTAAATGCTTCTGAATGAATTTGACTTGACGTTTCTTCGTGTACTCTGGTTTCCTCCCACAGTCAAAAACATGCCTGTCAGAATAATTGGCAAACTTAAAATGACTTTAAATGTGAGTGCACGTGCAGAATTGTCTGTCTTGTGTCTTTGTTTTGACCTTGGGATGGAGTAGTGACCTCTTTAGGATTTTCCTCTTCTTTGTGACCTTCAACATGATTGAGTGGTTACACAGAATAAATGGATTAAATGGGCACATTGCACTTTATAACAATTGCACTGCTTTTTTAGCTTAATTTTATTTGTAGAAATTGTACTAACAAGTTTACCTCTTTTTTTTTTTTCAGTTCAACTGAAGAGCATTTCCGCTGGAATGCACAAGGTATGACTCAGATATGTTTTTGTTTAATTTCCCAGTACTTCTGCTCATTTTGGCCATGAACTCTTTGTTGCATTAACACCTTCACGATGACTTTCTTTTCTTGTCTGACTGATAGTTATAGAAAAACATCATACTAGAGCTCATAAACAAGTTATAACGTACATGTTTCATAAACTTTACTGTAGAGGACAGTTTGCACTACAGAAGAATCTCAGTGTTTCTGTTGAATTTATTTGTTTGTTCTGTTCTTTATCTGGTTTTGACTTAGTCTCTGTTCTCTTGTAGCTGATGGACAAAAGGATATTGAGGATGAGTTAACCACAGGTTTAGAGTTGGTCGATTCCTGCATTCGGTCTCTTCAGGAGTCAGGAATTCTTGACAGCGGAGAACGTAAGTGAACCGTTTTTTGTGTTTAAGCAAAGCCGTGAATATTCAGTCGTGTGATTCATTTTTTTTGGACCGAGTCCTGATTCAGAACATCAGCACATTAGTTCAACATCTGTAGATATCACCACTGGTTCTGAAGGGTTCAACTTGAGCTGTTTCACTTAAAACATACTGTAGCTCATAAGTACGGTGGCCCTGATGTGTAAATGAACCCCATTTGAAAAAAACTGAATTACATTTTGAAAAACACAACAAAAACACAACAACATTTGAAAAAACAGAATTATATTGAGCCGAAGCGGAAGTGGCAGAAACGGAAGTGACCAAAGTGGAAGTGGAAGAAGCGGAAGTGCCCGGAATCACATTTGAAAAAACAATTACTTTTGAAAAAAAAAACGGAATTACATTAAGCCAAACCGGAAGTGGTGTTTTTATTTGTGTGTGTGTTTTAAACTTTATTAACAACATAAAAAAAGAACAGAACAATGTACCGTACACACACAATGGCGTTACATTTAGCAGGCTAGTTATAACTAATTCTGCGCCAGTAAAACTAAAATCCATCCATTTTCTTCTGCTTATCCGGGGTTGGGTCGCGGGGGTAGCAGCCTAAGTAGGGAGGCCCAGACTTCCCTCTCCCCAGCCACTTGATCCAGCTCCTCTGGGGGAATCCCGAGGCGTTCCCAGGCCAGCCGAGAAACGTAGTCCCTCCAGCGTGTCCTGGGTCTTCCTCTGGGTCTCCTCCCAGTGGGACGTGTCCGGAACACCTCACCAGGGAGGCGTCCAGGAGGCGTCCTAACCAGATGCCTGAACCACCTCAACTGGCTCCTCTCGACGTGGAGAAGCAGCGGCTCTACTCCGAGTCCCTCCCGGATGATCGAGCTTTTCACCCTGTCTCTAAGGGAGAGTCCAGACACCCTGCGGAGAAAACTCACTTTGGCCGATTGTATCCATGATCTTGTTATTTTGGTCACAACCAAAAGCTCACGACCATAGATGAGGGTAGGAACGTAGATCGGCCGGTAAATTGAGAGCTTCGCCTTTTGACTCAGCTCTCTCTTCACCCTGACAGACCGGTACAGCGTCCGCTTCACTGCAGACGCTGCAACTATCCACCCATCAATCTCTCGCTCCATTTTTCCCTCATTCGTGAACAAGACCCCAAGATACTTGAACTCCTCCACTTGGGGCATGACCTCTTCCCCGACCCAGAGAGGACACTTTACCCTTTTCCAGCTCAAGACCATGGCCTCGGATTTAAAGGAACTGATCATCTGCTACAGACGCTGGCTAAAACTAAAATGTAAAACTAAAATGAATGTCAACAAAACTTAATTACCTTTAAGATCCTTCCGAGTTTTTCCAGCATCATATCTTCTTTAAGCTTGACTAAAACATAGCTCTCCATTTCTACAGGCTAAAGGCTAGCCTGCTAACTGTACCTCTGTTGTGTGTGTACTGTACATTATTTTTAATGTTAATAAAGTAAAAAAATAATAATACACACACACACAAAAAAAAACACCACTACTTCCGCTTAGGTTTAATGTAATTCTGATTTTTCAAATGTTGTTCATTTACACCTCAGGGCCACCGTAGATAAGTAGCCTAATCAACTATTTTTACCTATAAGTAGCAAATATAATTTAAATTCAGATATAACTGTGGCTGTAATAATTTATTTGGATATACTTTAGTCATCAAGTAACTGAGCCACGGTGTGAGTATATATTTTTAGCATTTTGATAATAAAAAGGTGACGGCAGCCATCGTGCTATGCACAGTTCAGTTAAATGGCCTCGGCATTTTCTCTCCAGGTCATTGGCTTTGGAACGCTGCATTCCCATTTCCCTCGACCACTGACCTTTTTGATACTTGATAGTGATGTAATGGCATTTTAAAAGCCGACAATTTCTATATTACAAAGAAAGCACGCGGTCCCCACTACCATTTGCATGTGCAGGCTCGTGCACATGTGAACACGCCGCTCGTCTGCGAGCAGAAAGCGTCACTTGATGAATCTTGGAAAGCTGGTCTTGAAATATTCACCTTGTTTGCTTTTGCTGCTTTGCTTTGATATGAAACAAGAACGCCTGCTCTAATACACGCTGAACAGTTGGGAGATATGTCACATAATTAGATTGCTATCTTGTTTACTGAAAGTGCCGGAGTCTCCGTCACTCCTGCCCAAATCAAATGCACTGTGTACACTTTTATATCACCAATGCACTTTCAGAACCAGCCGTTAGACCCGGTGTGCACGTGCATTGAGAAAATCCACAAACATTTGATCAGTTTATTTTCATATCTTAATAAATTTTTGCATGTTAAGCTGTAAACAAATGAAACCTTGTCATGTTATTATATATGTTTTAATGCTTCTTCCAACAGTTATTTGTTTATAGCTAACTGAATGGTTTACGAGGAATACAAACATCACAATTTTCATTAACTTAAATTTTCCCCAAATATATACTTTTTTTTTTTTCAGTTTAAACATGTCATGTCTACAGTTCACTTGTCAATAGACTGAGATTTGCTAATCAAGTTGTGTGTTTCACTTTGTTTTCAGTGGCAAACATATTTAAAAGTTTGGTGATATATACTTTTTAAAATTAAGGATCTGTCAATCTTTGAGAAGCAAAGAGCTTCTGATGCAAAAATAAAGTTTTTCCATATTTTTCATGACGATAAGACAAGTTTTTTGTTTTATTTTACATTGTGTTTAGACGTTAGAAGAACAGTGAGTGACAATCGATGCAGTAAAGTGATATCTACTGTTCTAAGAACACTGATGCTCGGGTGTCTTGACAATTCAGAAGACATATTTTGTGAACATGACAAATCTGTTTTTGTAGCAAGGAAACGGAATATAATAAAACGCCTAGCCATCTACCTTTTAATACCTGTTAATAAAAACTAAAATAAGTCATATTTCCTTCCCAAGTAAGTTAATGGTTTTAGCTTTATACGTCTAGGCCAGAGGTCTGCAACCTTTACAGTCAAAAGAGCAATTTATGCCTCTATCACTGATAAAAATAGGGGTGACCGTATAAGATTAAAATTATATAATACATTTTACTCATGCTCAGTAATCCAGATTGAGCATGAGCTTTGACGTTTTGAACCGCTATGGCTGCCTCAATGGAGTCGACAGGTGAGAGGGCGGACTCCAGAAACCATCTTATAAAACCATCAAACTGGTTGGTCCCCTATGCAAATGTTCTGCTTGTGGGACTGTTTTTTGTGGCTCCTTGAACTGATGAAGTCCTTTGGATGAAGGACGAATCGTCTAAAAAATAAAATAAAATAAAATGAACCATCCAGATGACCCGACTTAACTTTGTTGAATACCTTTTACTGATATTTTTACATTTTTTCCACAAAAGAAAATATCTTGTTTATGTAAAGAAGAAAAAATGATATAGTTGATACACATTTTGATGAAAATTTAAACGCTGAACTATGCAAATCATAAACCTCTTTTTATTTGCGGAAAAATCAAGCAGCCCACTTGGATATTGTCAAAGCAAGTTAAAAAAAACAACATTTGATCAGTTTGTTGGATATGTAATTATGACTTATTCAATTTTGAAATAAAAACGAGTACTTTACTTATTTTTTTTATTATTTTTATTCTTACCATTATCAAATTGACATATTTCCTCTCGGCAACTAATGTTAAAGTTATCTCAAAATATTTTTAGTGGATTTGAGAGAAAGATACTACTGGAAGTTGGATTAATAAAGTAACTAACAAACTGCTAGCAGGATCTAGTTCACATGTTTTGCTCCTTGTATCAGTGGTATTCACATATTGGCAAAATAATTGAAGGAAAATTTCTAAAACTATATTTTTGTTTGTTTTTTTTGGGTAAAAACGCACACACTAAACAATAATTTTATGTTAGTTGTGGCCAAATCTTAAAAGAGTCACAAGTGGCTCCATATCTGCAGGTTTCAGACCTCTGATCTCAGCATTTACTCACTATTATACCACAATATTTGCAATAACTTGAACATTTATTCCAAATGAGCCGCAGATTACATATAAAATTCATGCAATTCAATCATTATGTTACGCAACACACACAAAGGAACCAAAGGCTGAGCGATGGTGTGTTTGGGAGCTCCTACACTGACTGCGTAACGCAAAAGTTCTGTTTAATAATTCATAAAAAGCGAGGAATGAATCAAGATGAGAGAAGACAAGTCTTGTGAAGGCGGGAGGCTGAGGAGTTGATCTCGGCTCAGCTCAGAGACTCGCAGAGAGAAAAGGATCCAGAGGGAGGACAAAAAGAGCAACGCAGAGCAAGCAAACAGATATGAGAGAAGAATGAGAAATGACAATAGTTTCTTTTCTTGAGTGCTATAAGTAGCAAACTACTCAACACTTGTTGCAGGTTTTATGAGGGAAGATTTCTGCTTCCTTTCAGATTTCCAATATATTGTTTCTACATTTATCATTCAATGATCTGTTAGTGATTGGAGTAGATGACTGTCAGCTACTAACACACCTATTACTGTCTCCATACCTGTAAAATTAACCAGGTCTAGCCATTTTGTTGCCGGCTGTAGTGGATTAGCTGCGTCTTGTATTGGGTTGAATCCAAATATTATGTTATCATAATGATTACTTCTGACAGTTTCAATAAACTCCATCCAAGGATTTATTAAATCTACATCCATTATTGTCCACATTGTCATTCAGCTGTGGGTAATAGCAGCTTAGACACATTAAACACAAAGTTTTGCAAGTATTTAAAATGTTTTTTTCAGGTTTATCTCGTCACACTAAACATTTAAGAATAGAGCTCATATTAAAAACTGACGGGCTGTTTTTATTCCTAATCAATACAAACTTCTGTGCACGATATCAGTTTGACATTATTAACACATTGAATGTATTATAGAAAAACCTCTTGTTTTGGAGAGGGCGTTATAGTTTATAAAATGGAAAATGTAATTTAATGTCATATTTAATATTCTGCAGTGCTCATCAACAACTAAACAAGTGAACGGATGTTAAATGAGTGATGATTTTACCAACAGTCGCGCAATTTTGCTCAAACAAAAAGTAAAAGTCAGCGTGCTGAGGGAGGTGAAGTTTAAGTTGTTAGATCTTTCATCTATCAAAACTCTCCTGAGCCTCGCTGCTCCCTTCCACAGTCTCTTCCTCTGCTCTCTGTTTCTCCCTTCCTCTGCTAATAAATTATGTATGCCGTCTCCGACTCAGAGTGCTGTACTGCTGCACTATCTGCTCTAAATTGCTGCTCTCTCTTTTCCCCATTTCACTCTTTGCCTCTCAATCTCTCCCCTTCACGCCCCCTCTCTTTCTCACTCCTAATCTCTCACTCTCTGCTCTCACACACAAACTCAACTGAAACCCCCCATCCACCACTCCCATCCAACCGTACACTTCTCCTGTCTCAACTGGTAGGACCGGCTCTCCTTTCCCAGAGTTCCTTGCAGCTCAACTCCACCCCGGAGGCTTCGCTCCAGTACTCTGCCAGCTACCATAGCAACCAGACCCTCAGTGACAGCATCTCTGCAGCAGCTCCTCAGCGCAGCGGGCAGGTTGGAGGAGCGGTGCACAGCTACAATCAGGTAGGACAGGGTGCCGCAAAAAAGTGGCAATAAGGACATGAATGTTTATGTTGATAAAACTACAATTTTAAGCATGCCCCTATATTAAGTGTGTGTAGCAGAGCAAAATCTTTTACAACTGAACTTAAGTTAGCAGAAAACAGTTCTTAGCAGCTTCAATGTGCAGCTGCTCTCACTGGATAATCTGTGTGAAGACAGTTTTTAAGCATTTTTGATAATATTGCACAGATTCTCATTTGACAAGTCCATTTGCCCTTTGCGTGTGTGTTGCCAGTTTTAAATTAAAGCGTCAAGACAAGTTTATTAAAACTTTTTAAGGCAGGTAATCAAAACCAAAAAGGCAACACAACAGCATTTGAGATTAAAGTTGGTGTTCATCAGGGTTCATGTCTCAGCCCACTGTTGTTTGTTGTGATGGACGTAGTCACTGAGCTTATTAGAGAGAAGTTCCGTGGGAAATGTTGTATAAAAAATGACCTAGTTGTGGCTGGAGATTCTGAAGTTAATCTCCAAGTTTCAAACGGTGGCAGCATGCACTTGAGAGTAAAACTCTGAAAATAAACGCAGCAAAAACAGAGACCATGGTCTGCTCAAAAGCTAATGAGACCTTAACAATTACCGATAGAGGAAATGTACTGAAGCAGGTCGAAACGTTCAAGCATCTGGGGTCAGTGATAAATGCTGAAGGAAGCTGTGAAGAAGACGTTAAATGCAAAATTGGTGCAGCGTGGCAATAATGGAAGGAGCTGACTGGAGTGCTTTGTGACAATAGGATGTTGATTCATATTAAAGGAAAAGTGTACAAGTTGATGGTGTGTCCAGTCTTGCTTTGTGGAGCTGAGGTATGAACATTAAAGAAAAAATGAATAGGAACTCCTGGAAAGAACAGAAATGTAGATGCTACGTGGGATTCTTGGAGTATCCCTCAAGGATAGACGGCGAAATGACAAAATCAGAAAAAGGCTTGGCATGGCATGCATCACAGATAAGATACACAAATCAAGAATGAGTTGGTGTGAGCATGTGCAGCGAATGGAAGATGACAACAAGGCAAAAAGGCTATTAAGCGCAGAAGTTTTCATCAATGAAACGGGACGGCAGAAGAAGAGGTGGATGGATATGATCCAGCAGGATATGAAGGCACTCCATCTCACAACAGACGATGCACAAAACAGAGAAAATGGAGAAGGAGAATCCATGTGGCTGATCCTGCTCCGAAAGGAGTGGGACCTACAGCCTGAAGGAGAGAGAAAGATGATCAAAACCAAAAAAGGAGGAAATATTTTAACACACTCAGAGAAAGACAAAGCGTGAAGCTTGGTAGGACTTTAGCAATAAAGCTAGATTCAAAGTCAGATATGAGTCGCAGCAGTTAAAGAGAAAGCCCACCTAATTACTCTGCAGCCCACAGCAGTCAATTATTTCTAATTTTCAAGTCCCTAACATATCTGTGGTAACACCGCAAACACATGCACACTCAAAGTTGCAGACGCCCACGCATCTGCTTAATCAGTGAGCAGCTGCAGAGCTTCATTAAAAAATATTTCCACTGTCTGGAACAAATGTTCTGTTTGAGATGGATGATCATGGGATAAAAGTAATGCAAGTACTTCAGATCGGTGACTATGAGCCGGAGTTCCCACCTCATCGTGGAAACCTCTTTTTTTTTTAAGTTATGTTTTCTATCAGGTTGAAATTGATAAAATTGTCAGTATTTGTTGCTCAGTTGCACAAGGCTTTTAGAAATATAACATAAGTACTTGTTAATCTGTTTTTGTATTTATTAGTTTCCCCCCAGAGTCACAATGAGAACTGGGTTCACATCTAGCTCAGGAGGCTTCCCTTTATAAATATGAAATAAAGGAGGAAATATAGAAGGCAACTACTTGATAGGAATGTAGATGGATGGGTTGTTAAGGGGTGAAAGGGATGTATATTCCTTCTGCAGTCTTCCTGACCTCCTTTCTCATCTCCCTTCTTCCTTCCCTGTCCTTTCTCCTCACCATCTCTGCCCATGGGAGTGTGTGTTTGTGTGCGCTCTCCTCTGATGTTTTGGGCTTGTCAGTGTAATGGGGATACTGCTGTCAGCAGGGCTTGTTGCTCATGAATAGTGTTGTGCATGCCAGAAATGCAAGCTAGGGAGGTTTAGCTTGCGTGCACGCATGAATTGTTGGTGTCTTTGCACGTGCAAGCTCCCATTACGCGCCGTCTCTCAATCATGTGTAGATTTATTTGGTTGTTTTCGTGTGACTGCCTTAAGAAGAAAGGGAGAGCAACAGAAAGGTCTATTATGTTTGCTGTCTTTTGTAGGATATTTATAACCCAACGTGTCCGTGCTTTAATTATGCATGTTTACATGGCACCTCAAACATCCTTGTCTTTGACTTGAGAAGGAAAAGAGCAAGATGACTTACAGTGGGATCGCAATCACAAAGTAAGCCAAGCTCCCGTTTCCTGCTTGTTAGTTACCTCGGCAAACAGTTAATCTTTTAGACATTATTTATTTGCACGTCCATTTACAAGTCAATCCATTCATCCATCACTCTACTCCATGTGCACCATTTTCATTGTTGCATGTCTTGTACTTCTAAGCAACTCAAAACAGTTTTACATTTTGAACAAAACAAATCATTATAATTAATTTACAGTTTTAAAGCTGTTACATGGCTGGGATTTCATTCACCTTAGAGCTCCCATTGGTTTCACTGAAACCACGGGACACTTAAAATGCTGGTTTGAGAAACTCGAGATCTGGGTTCACGTCGATATTGAGCTCTTTTGACTGAAGAGACATTTATTATTTCCGTTTCATTTAAACAAACAAACAAGTGTCTGCATACAAATAATTATAACAGGAATGCTCTTCAGCAGCTGTTTAAGTTGTCTGGAATGTGGAGAATGTGCCGAGCTTGGCAACACTATGTGTGAACTACATGTGGTGCTGTATCGAGCTGAGCAGACTGATCCTTATCAGGACTGTGGAACTTGCCACAAGTGTCCACCAACGGTTGGAAGGAATAAATCTTGGCGAAGTTGTAAGCTCGACTTGGCGTAAGTAATCAAATTCGGCTGTTTGGAGACACCATGGGAGAATGTACTAGCGAGACTGTTAAGGCAGACACGGAGTATTATGAGTCCAGCTTGACCCAATAACAATGTTGATATCTGAATCTGGACCTGGCCTTGGAAGGGGGACTATCTCAAATTTTTCTTTAGATGTTATGGAAACAAAGACACTCTGAAACCCCTCCCCACCCTCTCCCTTCCCCAAGGTCATGGACCTGTGACAGAGCTCAACTGAGCTGGCTGATAAACAAACACCTCTTATCAGGACTATGGCTGGTGGAGTGGCTCTGGACTGTGCTACGACCTTCCTGCAAACTCAATTCCTCCACTGGCCTCCCTCGCCTCCCCTGGCGCAGCAACCTAGGAGATGCGAAGGCGCCAAGGGCTGCATCGCTCACCTGGCGGCCGTGCTGGGACCCCCACTCCCTACTCATTCCACATGCATCTTATCGAAGCAATAAGGGCAGCACTTCCTGTACACTTCCATCTTTCAGATGTCTGTACAAAACATAAGTTTGCTGTACTTAACTGTGCAATGACAATAGAGCTGATTCTGATTATCTTAAATGCTGTTCTAATTAGGCATGGGCTTGAGGTACCCCTGAGCAAAAGCTTACAGTTACAAAGTATTAAAACAAAACAAATTGAAACATTTTATTTGTTTGTTTTTTAAATAGAATGCAAAATACTATTACTACTGTTTTCTTGATAATGTCACATCTTGCATAATAATTATTTTATAGGATTACTAATGCAAAAAATATGCAAATTGTTATTTTGTAATGCACATATTGGGAGATTGAGAGGACACATGATCATATGGACTGTCCAAAATCAATGTCAAGTTTTTCACTGCACTCAAGACAGACTTTAAATTATATTGTGATCAGCTTTTCTATTTATAGCAATATTTATTAAAATATTTAAAATCAAAGCTGAAATTTTAACTTATTCACAAGTTTTTCGATTTGTTTAAAATTTACCACCAGAGAGTCGGAAGCAGATTTTAAAGAACATTTAGCTTCTTTGTAAGAACATTAAGGAAGTTATAAACAAGTTTTATGCCTTTTATTGTGAAATCTACTTGTCCTTTTATTATTATTGTTGTGTTTTTTTCTTATACGTCACTTGTTTTTATAACAGTTTGATTTTTTTTTTCTTTTTGTTAAATCAAGACATTTGTTCACTTAAAAAAATCACCCTTTTCCTAACAATGCAGGGCTGAAATCACAGGTTTGTTGACCTCAACAGATTTGTTCTGGTTTATTGTAGAACAGAAATAAAACCATAGACGTCCAAAGGAAACACAAGAGGATACAGTGTGCCTGTTCATGCTGCTATATTTATCTCGGGGAGATTTGCTGAGCAGACGTGCTTTTCTTCCACCAAGGTGTGTGTGCACAGCAGAGCAGCTGCAGAAGTTAACACCTGGAAACTGTTACACCTTTTCAACACAACCTCTGCGTGGAGGTGTGGGTGTGATTATATGAATTTTCGAACCAGAGCCACTGGGTGCATGTCAGTTTTTAATGATAAAGTAAAGCCAAGTAACTTTTTAGGCATTAGAAAATAGCAAAATGCATGTAGCTAAATGACTGAGAACTGAAATAAAACTAATAAATATCCAGACGTTTTATTTTTATCAGACTTTCACGTGTAGTGCAAACATTTGTGAATTCTCACATTTAAGTTTGGGGAACAGAGCGTTCGTTTTTCTGCTCCGATTGTTTGAGTTTTATCGTTCGCAGTAATGACAGCGTTCCAAAGTGACGCAGTGACTGTGCTGCCTTATTTTAGCTGTTCTATTATAGATGTGTCATGGCAGTAATAATGTATTTAAAGTGCAACTGCAGCTTAAACAAAACTTTAGAGCACGTGAGAGTCATTAGAGAGCAGACTTGTATTTTCATGGTGTGTTCAAATGTATTTACCTTTACATTTTATTCATTCAAACTTGACTCCTAAGAAGACTTTTTTTTTATTGTTTCACATTACAAAATCTATTTTAGCAGTTTTGCATTAATTACATCAATTGCATTCTTTGTCAGTTAACTTTAAGGTTCAATATCATGATTTGCTTTATTGCCCCCCCTTGCAGAGTGAAGAGGGAGGGATTGGAAAGTCCCTTCACTGTCGATCCATGAATATTGTGAGCATGATAACTTGAAAAATAGACCGGTTACCATATTTTCAGACTATAAGGCGCACTTAAAATCCTTTAATTTTCTCAAAAAATCAACAGTTAGTCTTATAATCCAGTGTGCTTTACGTATTAATTCTGGTTGTGCTTACTGACCTCCAACTGATTTTATGAATGGCGTTCAAAAATATGTCAAAATGTTTTAGTTTCGTTCAACGCGGCTTATAGTTCGAAAAATACGGTACAGTTACCCATTTTGATGTGTGGCTACATCTGAGTGTAAGAAAGGTTTCCCTTGAAAAATGGTTTGCTATATAAAAATCCACAATGGCCACCGCCGCAAATGTTTGCGCTTATTGTGAGCATGACGTGAAAAATAAGTGTGGTTCCAGCTTCCATTGTGGTGTGTGGCTACATCTAAAGACAGGTTCCTTTTGAAAATTGGGCGATCACGTCAAAATCTAAACTGGCCAACACCACATATATACAGTAGTCCCTCATTTATCATGGGGTTTAGGAGACCACGCCCCCAGTGATAAGTGAAAAACTGTGAAGTAGGGATACGTAGTCCAAGTTAAAGTTTCACTCCCAATCTCCCTCCTTCTGTGTAAATAAACAATTTACATTTAAATACTGTAATATTTTAAATAAGCAATCCATGTAGCATGGATTGTTCACAATATTACAGTATTTAAATTTTAAATGTAGAGAACAGCAAAGGGTTAACCATTCACACAGCTAATGCAGCACGGAGCAGATGTGTGGGTGGCAGAGAGCGGAGATCATGACCGTGGAAGCTTCTTCCTGCACTTAATGATTTAGCAGGTGCTAAATGATTTAAAATAAATAATTTTAATTAAACAATCCATGCAGCTCGTGTGACTCATCAGCCAGCTGTGTGTCATGTCCACTCTTACTTTGAAAAACCGCGAAAGAGTGAGTCCGCGAAAGTTGAACCACA